TCAGGTTCAGGGAAGTTGAAATTAAGGAAGACAGGTTACGATTTGAAATATTCAATATCGAACTCCCTACAGACGTGAAGCCTCACCTCCGCCGCCACCGCCGCAGGCACCTTCGGCGCCGGGGATCGGTGGCGGGTTGCCGCAGCAAGCTGCTGCTGCACCGACGGCAGCCGAGCTGGAGCGGCAAGCGTGAGTGGGGGCTGAGGCAGGGGACGGGTTGTTGTCTTGGGTGTGTTCTGAAGTGTTGCCGGGAGTAGGTGTATGCGGGTGTGTTTGTTGGATGCGTTTTTGTTCACCGGTGCTGGCTGGTCTTCTGTGCATGTGGGCATTGGGTTGAGCAGTAATGTCTGCTAGAACGCACCACTGCTGCTGCTGCTGTTGCTGCTGCTGTGGCAACTTCAAAGCTTCTTCAAAAGCCGCACTTTCAAAGAAGTCTGGGGTGGTTGGTGCCTCGACCCACTCCGCCAACAGCATGATTTTGAATCTTGCCGAAGGCGAGAACTCTTCTTCTGTTATGTCTCCTCTTCTGTTTCGGTGAGGCTTCTATTTAGCGAGAGCCGTGCAGGCGCACGCTACACCACGTCCGTCAACAACGCTGACACAACCAGGAAGTCACCCCCAACAACATGCCGTGTTCCTTGCTGACGGCAACCCTAAGTTGCTTCTTCTATCGTTGCCTCGTGCTTCGAAATCCTCTCACACGCCGACGTGCTTCTCACCGACTTTGCAGGACAACCCTCCTCTTCTCTCTTGTTCTTTTTCGCTTCCCTCGCCCTCTGATCCCTGTCTCCCTCCTCTCTCCCCCCCCCCGTCAATCGCTCCTTCGTTTTCGTTGGGGTTGACCGCTTCCCAATCTCTGTGTTTTCATGGTGCTGCTGTGCTGGACGACCGTCGTGGGAGAGCAGAAAGGTGCCGCAGCTCATGATCTACATGCGCGTGGCGAACATCGCGCTTTGTGGTATACTCGCGGCGACCGCTGTCTTGAAGCTGATTGGTGCAGGGGTGGACGTGGCGGGCGCGGTCCTGGCGTGCTACCTTTGGTGAGTCGTCTTCCTGTCATCAGGCACTTCGCCGCCGTGCCTGCGTACCGCACGTCGCGTCAAGGTTTCCAGACATACCCCTTCGATCGATCGATTTTTTTTTTTTGAAATTTAGATTTAGTCAGCAGCGAAAACGGCGAGGTGGCTCCAAACTGCTGCGGTGGAAGGAACCGTCTCGTGGAGAGCTTTTCCGTATATACTGTACGTGTACTTCGATTGTGGCATCCTCTTCGTCGTGAACTACATGCCCGAGCTTTGGTTATCGGCCCTGGGGGTGTGGTATCTTTTGCGTCCTAGGCGGCACCAACGTGATTGGAGCGGCGTTTTCTAGTGGCACGAGTAGGTGAAGAACCTTCTCGAACCCTCCTTGCTCGATCGGGAGGAGCACTAGTCCTTTTTTGCCTTTTGTCTTTGTCTCCGTTGTCTCGAAATATAGACGTCTACCGTCCGTTGCCGCTGCACTCAACCGCAAAGGCCTTGCAATGCCTTCGTGCACATGTCGCCTGTGGTCAACACCAAACGGAGAAAGAGGTGCTGTAGATGAGATGACTCTCTTTCTTGTCCAGGGCAGGCTTGTTTTTCTCTGTTTCTGTGCCTCCTGGCGTGATTTGCGGAGAGGTTTGCCGTGCTGCCATGGGTCGCCATCCGTTTTGAGTATGATGTGCATGCTGTGCCGTCTTCTCGTACCCACCATCCCCTCTGCTCTGCGTACCCCCTGCTTCGTGCCGTGCTTCGCTCTTGTTGCTTGTGCAGCGCGTTCTCGTGCATCCTCTGCTGCTTCGAGACTCACCTGAAGGTCGTGGCGAAGACTATCGCAGCCAACTTCGGTTTCCTGTACAATGCTAAGGGGCGGGCGGTCTTCCTCATCTTGTGAGAAATTGTTGTTACAGCAGTTGTTGTTGTTGTTGTTGTTGTTGTTGTTGTCAGTGTTATGCATATTGTTGTCCTTGTTGCTGTTGTTATTGTGGTGGTTTTGTGGTGGGGGCGGTGTTGTTGCTGCTGGCGATGGCATCCGTCGTTAGGCTACGCTTGTTGCTGTATACCCGTTCCTTCTCAAGTCCCACGGCTGCCCTCCCGCGCCCCGATCCCTCTGACGTTCCCCCCCCCTCGGCGTCTCCTTGCACGCTCAAAAGTCCTAGTCGTTGGTGGGAGCTAGTATGTATACAGCTATATACTAGATCCGATTGCGGGCGCACACTATCACACACTCGCACCTTTCCAACGTTCACGTCCTGTTTTTCCTCCCTTGCCTTGTTGACTCCATCCCTCGCCCTGCCTGCCTGCTACTATACCTTCAGCGTGGGAGTCTTGTGCTTCAGCTTGAATTCCGACATCGCGTTTGTGGCCGGCGCGCTGATGATGGTAAACGCCGTCTTCAACTTCTATGTAATCTTCAAGGTGCGCTTCTTGGCGCTCCGTGGCACGTTGATTGATTGGTGGAATGAGCGCAACTAAACCATTGTTGCGGCCGTGTGGTAAACGCGAGGGGGAGAGGATGGGCTGGCGGGGGCGAGCGCGCGTTGGGGGGGGAGTTACTGAGAGGAAGCTTTCCTCTGTGGGCAGGCAGCCCTTCCGAACAATTTGTAGACGGAGAGTACGCGGAGGAGGTTAGATAGGCTCGATCTGGTCTGCAGTTCGCTCTCTGGACCCTATTGTTGTGTTCCCCGTGGTTCGTTTGGAGCCTCGGCAGTGGAGAGTTCTTCGCGGCCCGTTGGAGCATACTATTTAGTAGTAGACCTTCCCCTGGGTCCAGCCCTTTGCCATTCACACACACACACGCACCCTCTCCCGCTCTCTCGCCCCTTTTTCTTTCGCGCGCGAGTCGCGCCTCTCGCTTCGTGCCCGATGTTGACGTTGCGCTTATCGCACCCCTCCTCGGTTTGCTTGCCTCGGCTTGTCCGGCGTCAAACGAAACTACAACGATGGCAACAACAACAACAACAACAACAACAACAACAACAACAACAACAACAACAAATACCAACGTGGCCAGTACCCGGAGTTCGAGCGGGACCTCCAGCGGAAAGACTTGGAATCAGAGGGAAGAGACTACCTTCGGGCGAACCGCGGAGCCCTCGCGCAGGCCGGGGTCGAGTTCGCACGCAACAACCCGGATCTTGCCCGCAAGGTATGCATACGTACACGTAGAGGTGTAGAACGCCATGCCCGTGATGCGATCAGCTCCGTTGGACTCTTTTCCTTAACTTTTGGGAGGAAAAATCTGGATCTTGCCTTATCTTCCACTTTCTCTAGAGAGAGTAGAAATTTGTGTTTTTGGAGAGGTTTCCGGGAGGACCCCCCGCCGTTCGTTCGGCTTGCGCTGTACGGACCCGTTTTTTTTTTTTTTTTTTTTCCCTGTTTTCCGTGTGTTGCATCGCAAGCATCTGGAGTTGTGCGTTGGGATTTTGTCCCGGGAGTGAGGGGGTGCGGAGGGCGCGTGCTATTGGTAGAGTGCGTTTACCGTTTGCGCTCGGTCGGGCTTAAGGGTGACGCGCGTGGAGAATTCCCGCGGTGGGTGGGTGGGGAGCCAAGGCAGTCATCAACTGTCGCAAACAGCGTCACTCCTCCCGTTGCCCGTATCGCTTGAAGTTCGTTGCCTGTGCCGTGTTGAAGCTTTATTGGTAGCCGGTGGCGTTGAATGTGTGGCACGGATAACTCCCTAGCCGGCCTTTGGCCACGAGCAGAAACAACCCTCGCTCATGACGCTCCATCTCCTCCCCCTCCCCCCCGTTTTCGTGTTGCTTGTTGACGGTTGGTTTGTTCGTTTTGTTTCGCAACTCGGCCGAAACAGGGGGCTCAGGCAGCAGCCTCAACCTACGTCTGAGTCTAACCCTCACAGCAAGAACAATGACGGTCCCGATGCGGCCCAGGAAATGTCGGGGGCTTGGGGAAGGGAGGCGTTGCTACCGGCCATATCTATCGTGCTCCGGAATACTGTAATGTCGTTAGTGCTGTAGTGCTGTTTGCTATGTACGCTGGAGGATGTGCCCCCCCCCTCCTCCCCCTTTTTATTTGATGCTGCTCGGCGTCCGCTCACCGAAGTCGCCTTTCTGGGGTCCCCATATATATTTTTGGCCACCTCCGGCTGCTGCTACTGGTGTATCGTGCTGCTGTGGTTAGGTTCTCTGGATATTGTGTAGTTAATCCTTTTTTCGATGAACAATAAGGCGTGAGCGATTCGCGCTCACGCCCTCGTACCGCCCGTATTTCTTGAAATCTATCGTGCGACGGGTGGGGGGAGGGTGCAAGAGGTGAACGGGTTTGTGGCGAACGAGCGGGTGGGATACACAGGCAGCTAGCTGTAGCTGTAGCTGTAGCTGTAGGCGTGTTGTTTTTCTGCCCCTCCCCTAGTTCACGTTTCTTGTTACACGGAAAGAAAGATGAAAACGATTACTGGTACTTTTGCCTGCATGAGGGAAGAGAGACGGGACTCCTTGCTGCTCCCTCTAGGACAGCGGTCAAGCAGCAGCAGCAGCAGCAGCCACACACTTATAGTCGGTGAACACTGAGCGAGAGCGAGCGGTTCTGCGGGGGAGGAGTCGATTTGGTTGTCTGTGTACAAAGAGTTTTGGCTTCCTCATTTTGACCTGGACGGAATTAGAAAACGTAAGTAGTAGAGAGATGGCACGAAATGGGGGGTTGGGGGGGCGGGGGGGGCTTGCGCGAGCTGCCGATTCCGACGGCGTAGCGCTCCATGGCCACCTTACAGACCGAGGATGAAAATGAAGTCGTTCATATGAATACCCCTTCTTATCTCCACAGTCAAATCAAATCGGTTTAAGAAAGGACGCGGGCAGCGGTACGTAAATCACCCACAACCGTTTCTGAGCAGGTGGTCTGAAATTGAGTTTCTACATCTCGACACCCACTGCTGCGGTACTACTGTTCGCGTCTGACGGTTCGTCAAGACCCTAGCGTTGCAAAGACCTCCAGTCTCGCGCAGCATATGTGCGTACGACACGCTACAACAGCAGGGTGGGGTGTAGCGCTGCATTGCTATCATTCCCTCTCGATTGGGCATCCACACAGACACACGCCCCGCCGATGATAAGTGTTGCCCGTGTGTGCGATTCGCCCCAACCCGCATGCCTCTCCGCTGGTGTGGGGTAAGAAAGAAACACTTCCAGGTCTTTTGTCGCCGACGGACCGCAGAAACGTGCCAAGCTCTCGACAAAATTTCAACAACAGCAAAGAAAAAAGGCAAAGAACAACAACAGTTGTAACGCGCCCGGGACAGGATGTATCATCAACACTTCAGCTCTAACAATTACCTAGGCAAGTGGCATAAATCACTTGGAAACATACGACCACTCGAACAAGCTCATAGCCAAGCCATGAACCACATTCCACCGTCATTAATCTACTGCACCTATCGTCCTCGCCATAATGCCAACGACGAGCAAGTATCGTACTCGAAAAAGCTCCAACCCAACCCCCCCGGCCCCGGTCAGGCTATTTTCGAACGATCCCCGCCTGTTCTCTTCCAACTTCTAAATAGTAATTTCGCCTTCTCTAGAGCCGGTTCGGGAAAATCCTTCACCACCAGCAAAATGAAAAAATGTGATATTGCGGTGGCACCGGACCGATCTAGACTAAACCGTGTGTCAATAAACGGCCCCCGTTCCCGCTACATAACAACAACGAAGAGTGCTAAAACACCACCACATATGACAGGCACGGCGAGGCCCCGAAGATGAAAAAAAGGCGAGTACCGGGGGGGGGGGGGTTGTGTGCCTCTTGGCTCCCCCCGAATCCAGCTGCTTGGGAACAAGAAACGAATGATGTACACCGTAGTAGTAAATGACTTCCACCAGAAACTCCAACCACATCCATATGCATTCCATCGTCTAACCCTCGCTGCCCCCGCCCGCCCCTCTCGTCGACCCCCATCGGTCTCAACGGCCCATGAGACCGGACCAGACGATCCAACAGCGGCTCAGGATCTCTCGCACACGCATAGACAGCTAGATGAAGTTTTCACCAGAACACGCACGACAAAGTGAAAAGGATTCAGGAACGATTCTGGAAATTTCGACCGGACAGATGACACTATTCACCCACAGCCTCTTAGCGACCTTCGTCAAATGCGGGACGTGTCCGATTGACCAGGCAGCAGCAGCAGCAGCTCGTGGTGGCCACGACGATGCTCGCTCACGGGTTGACTCCTTCCCAGCGGCTGCTCTTTGCCCGCCGGCCGGTATGGTACGACGCGCCCGATGCCGTGGATCAAACCACACGCCACTTTTAACAACAAAAAAAGGCCGCCCGATGCAGTGAGTGGTGTGGAACATGGCGGGAGCTGCTTCAAAAGCGAAGTAGACCACAAACACCGGCCGATAGATCGATATATCGATGGACCGCCATTTCTTTTTTTCTACGCTCACGCCTCGTGCTCGAAGTAGCTGTGCGCGCACAGCATGACCGCGAAAGACAAGCCCGTGGTGATGGACGCCTTGATGACGGACGAGTCCTCAACGGCCTCCAAAAACAACTCGAAACAAGCTACCCAGAACATCGCCCCCGCCGCGAAGCCAAGCCCGATCTGTTTTTTTCAGTTTCCGTGGGGCATTTTTGCGCGTTCACAGCAGTATTGTTTTGTCATTAGGGGTGAGTGGGTCGGTTGGGAGGAGAGGGAGACAAAACACAAATAGAGGAGCGCGCATATGGACCATCGCGTCAGGCGGCAGCGTGTGCGGTCGGTGGGAAGGACTCATGCATGGGCAAAACAGATGAGTTTCGGTCCGGGGGGGGGGGGGATACCTGGGGTGCAGGAAACAAGTAGGGTTGTAAAAAAAAATTAATGGGAAAAAT